CCAAAGTGGTTCTTGTTCTGGTTCTTGTAGTGGTTTGAGTTCCATTGAACCAGAAATTGAATTCTGATGTATTTTGATGAGTCGCATGATGGGTTTGACCATAATCAGATGTTGGCCTCTTCTCCCGGGACACCCGGAATGTGTCCGGATGTGGCCAAAGTGGTTCTAGGAACTAGATTTGAGTTCCATTAAACCAGTCGTTGAATTCTCATGTAATTTGATGTGTCGCATGATGGGTTTGGCCCTAATCAGATGTTGGCCTCTTCCCCCGGGACACCCGGAATATGTCCAGATGTGGCCAAAGTGGTTCTAAGAACTAAATTTAAGTTCCATTGAACCAGAAATTGAATTCTCATGTATTTTGATGTGTCGCATGATGGGTTTCACCCTAATCAGATGTTGGCCTCTTCCCCCGGGACACCCGGAATATGTCCAGATGTGGCCAAAATGGTTCTAGGAACTAAATTTGAATTCCATTGAACCAGAAATTGAATTCTCATGTATTTTGATGTGTCGCATGATGGGTTTCACCCTAATCAGATGTTGGCCTCTTCCCCCGGGACACCCGGAATATGTCCGGATGTGGCCAAAGTGGTTCTTGGAACAAAATTTGAGTTCCATTGAACTAGTCATTGAATTCTCATGTAATTCGATGTGTCGCATGATAGGTTTGACTCTAATTAGATGTTGGCTTCTTCCCCCGGGACACCCGGAATATGTCCGGATGTGGCCAAAGTGGTTCTTGGAACTAAATTTGAGTTCCATTGAACTAGTCATTGAATTCTCATGTAATTCGATGTGTCGCATGATAGGTTTGACTCTAATCAGATGTTGGCCTCTTCCCCCGGGACACCCGGAATATGTCCGGATGTGGCCAAAGTGGTTCTTGGAACTAGATTTGAGTTCCATTGAACTAGTCATTGAATTCTCATGTAATTCGATGTGTCGCATGATGGGTTTGACCCTAATTAGATGTTGGCTTCTTCCCCCGGGACAACCGGAATATGTCCGGATGTGGCCAAAGTGGTTCTTGGAACTAAATTTGAGTTCCATTGAACTAGTCATTGAATTCTCATGTAATTCGATGTGTCGCATGATGGGTTTGACTCTAATTAGATGTTGGCTTCTTCCCCCGGGACACCCGGAATATGTCCGGATGTGGCCAAAGTGGTTCTTGGAACTAAATTTGAGTTCTATTGAACTAGTCATTGAATTCTCATGTAATTCGATGTGTCGCATGATGGGTTTGACTCTAATTAGATGTTGGCTTCTTCCCCCGGGACACCCGGAATATGTCCGGATGTGGCCAAAGTGGTTCTTGGAACTAAATTTGAGTTCTATTGAACCATTCATTGAATTCTCATGTAATTCGATGTGTCGCATCATGGGGTTAAACCTAATAAAATCTAATCAGTTACTGGATGCTTCCCCCAGGGCACCCGGGATTGGCCTGAACCTGAATGATGAGGCATCCCTGGGAATATCGTCTGATTTTGGGTAGATTGTAAGTTTGTTTGTTATTATTGTTATTTTAAGATATGTATATGCAAAAAAATCAAATATTTTAGTTATAAGAATTATTTTTGTATGTATGTTTAAAGGAATTTTAAATAAAGTCATTTGAAGGGTTCAACATTATTTACTTTTTATTATTAAAATCGCAAAAAGAAAGAAAATGGTGGTGCACAAACTACAGCCGCCGGGTAGCGCGCCGGGGCAGCTGGGGGCGGACAAAGGGCGACCAAAGCGGCTAAAACGATCAGTTTTTTGACAGGTATCGTTTTCGCCTCAGGCGCCCAAATGTTGCAAATATGGTCGCCCCCGGCGCGCCGGCGACCAAATTTGCACCAAGTGGCACCGCGAGGTTCGAGTCGCCCAAGTCCGCCCCGTCCGCCGAGCGGTCCGGGGGCGAGCCGTGGGCGACTAGCCCGCTGTATGTGGGTTCGTTTGTGCTACTACTAGATTGAACTAGCATTTTCACCAAATGTACTGGAATGTTTTGGTTCTATCTCTTTCACTCTACTCAAAACTGAAATGCATAAAAAAATGACAAAATGATACGCACTCTTTGCACACTGTCAAAAATCATTGTACACAAAATCAACTTTGTTCAAATCAAAACAAAAAAAACTAACCCATCTGGTGGATGATGGCACAAGCTTCCAATAAAATTCTATTACAGTGAACCACATTATTTTAATGGATTTCTTCGCCAGTTAGTCGTCTGTCACTTCGTTTGTGCTCCTATGGTAAAATCCGTAAGCAAACGTCAGACTGTGCGTGAAATTTACTTTCAAAAACGAAGAGGTTCGCAAGTGGTGCTGGTGCTGAAGAGTATGAACTGCTGTTGGATGATCAGATTGATTTCGTCCAGGCACTCCGACTGGATGGAACTAAAGAAAAGGACCGGAAAGCACCGGTATCTGAGGCGGAAAGGAAGAAGATGGACATTGAGGAAACGAAGAAATCACTTCCAGTTTTTCCATTCAAGGAGGATCTCATAGCCGCTATAAAAGAACACCAGATTCTTATTATCGAAGGAGAAACGGGTTCGGGAAAAACGACACAGATTCCACAGTATCTCTATGAAGCTGGGTTTACAAACGACGGCAAGAAGATTGGATGTACTCAGCCTCGTCGCGTGGCAGCGATGTCCGTGGTGGCACGTGTTGCACAGGAAATGGGCGTCAAGTTGGGCAACGAAGTTGGTTATAGTATTCGTTTCGAGGATTGCACATCCGAGCGGACTGTCATTAAAAACATGACAGATGGTACGTTGCACAGGGAGTTTCTTTCGGAACCGGACCTAGCTTCGTATAGTGTGATGATTATCGATGAAGCTCACGAGCGTACGTTACACACGGACATTCAGTTTATATTGGTGAAGGACATTGTGCGGTTTCGGTTGGATTTGAAACTACTGATTTCCAGTGCCACGTTGGATGCGGAAAAGTTTTCGGATTTCTTCGATGATGCGAACATATTCCGTATTCCTGGTCGTCGTTTTCCGGTACGTAGTTAGATTTGACTTGCTTTGTGTTTTGCTGTAAAATCTAACTTTTTCTCTTCTAGGTTGATGTCTTCTACACCAAAGCACCGGAAGCAGATTATATCGATGCATGTGTGGTGTCGGTTCTACAGATTCATGCCACTCAGCCTCTTGGAGACATTCTTGTATTTTTAACTGGTAAGTGGGTCTATTTCTATGCGATGTTAAAAAATTACATTTTTTTTTTCGTTCCAGGACAAGAGGAAATCGAAGCCTGCCAGGAGATGCTCCAGGATCGCGTCAAGCGGTTGGGTTCCAAACTCAAGGAACTACTCATTCTTCCCATTTATGCCAATCTGCCTTCGGTCATGCAGGCGAAAATTTTCGATCCAACTCCACCGAACGCCCGGAAAGTCGTACTGGCCACCAACATCGCCGAGACATCACTAACCATCGATAACATAATGTACGTGATCGATCCGGGCTTTGCAAAGCAAAATAATTTTAACTCCAGAACCGGGATGGAGACCCTGATGGTCGTGCCCATTTCGAAAGCGTCTGCCAATCAACGTGCAGGTCGAGCAGGGCGCGTTGCCCCTGGCAAGTGCTTTCGTCTGTACACAGTCTGGGCATACAAACACGAGCTGGAAGACAACACCGTCCCGGAAATTCAGCGCATAAACCTGGGCAATGCCGTGCTAATGCTCAAAGCTCTTGGAATCAACGATTTGCTTCATTTCGATTTCCTCGATCCTCCACCACATGAAACGTTGGTTTTGGCATTGGAGCAACTTTACGCCCTAGGGGCATTGAATCACCACGGTGAACTGACCAAACTTGGACGACGGATGGCGGAATTTCCGGTCGATCTCATGATGGCAAAAATGCTGCTTGCTAGTGAAAAGTACAAATGTTCCGAGGAGGTGGTGGCCATCGCTGCAATGCTATCGGTGAATGGAGCCATCTTCTACCGACCGAAAGATAAAATCATCCACGCAGATACGGCCCGGAAGAACTTCAACCACATGCACGGGGACCACTTGAGTTTGCTGCAGGTCTACAATCAATGGGCCGAATCGGACTACAGCACTCAGTGGAGTTACGAAAATTTCATTCAGTTCCGTTCGATGAAACGAGCTCGCGATGTCCGGGAGCAGCTGGTTGGGTTAATGCAGCGAGTCGATGTCCGGGAGCAGCTGGTTGGGTTAATGCAGCGAGTCGAAATCGAAATGGTTTCCAGTCTGCCGGAAACGACCAACATCCGGAAGGCTATTACAGCCGGGTACTTTTATCACGTCGCTCGGCTCTCCAAGGGGGGGTCACTACAAAACGGCCAAGCACAATCAGACGGTGATGATCCATCCGAATTCGGCACTGTTCGAAGAACTGCCTCGTTGGGTGCTGTACCACGAGCTGGTGTTTACGACGAAGGAGTACATGCGGTCGGTGATTGAAATCGAAAGCAAGTGGCTGCTGGAGGCGGCACCGCATTACTACAAACCGAATGAGCTCGAGGATTCCACCAATAAAAAGATGCCGAAAACGATCGGTCGGGCCACGCTGACCGAGGCGTAGGTTGTGATGAGACGGTTTGGGGTAATTCAAGAGCATTTTTCGCACTATGTATTCAACGGGAATTGTTGTTATTTGCGATGACATTATCCTACCTAGGGTGTCGGGTGTAAATTAGTGATCTTTAGGGACAAATAGGTGAAATATAAGGTTGCTGCAACCATGCTATATTGTATGTCAGTAGAGAGCTTCATAAGGCTAGCCCGTCTAATCCCAGTCGCGCTCCTTTCCGTTTCTTCAGGTCCGGTTAGGTGGATTAGGAATTCTCTGGCACGCCGAAGCCAACTGCAGGGCTGTTACAAGTGTCGCAAATTTTGTGCGGTTTTATAGCTTTTGAAGTGCGGATTTTGCGGAAAGCTTATCGACATTGAACACATTTAATAACTTTACTGCTTTACTTCTTTATTAAATAATAGAAGGTCAAATAATTAGAATCGAAACTTAGTTGAATTAACCCTAAGTGGAACTAATCCGCGCCAAAGCAAATCTGAGATGGCAGTCCACGAATACCTCAGATTTGCGAATTTAGCGTAGTCGTAACAACGCCGTCCTTGACGGGAACTAACAAAGTTTATACTATTTCAAACAATCGCTGATAGGAAGTTTTTTCGCCAAGTGAATGATGAAATACTCACAATGATTTCACTGTCTTAAGATTTATTGCTGTCTCTAATAGCATATGTAGCAAAGCTATACATTATTTTTCTCTCGTCTCAATACCTACTTACTACCAAAAGTGGATGTGTTAATAACACAATCAATGATTAACAATTAAAAAAAAACCCTCACTGAATTCAACCATACACAGCAGAACACACAAAATCAAAATCTCTCTTTAAAATATGCCCCGACCCGTCCGCTCTAATGCTGCGACCACTGGATCGACTTGATGTCGATACCTTCCTGGACCATCGGCGGCGAAAGCGAAGGCAGCGGTCCCAACTTACTGCTCAGCATATCCGAAGGATTTGTTGTTACGTTGGCATTCTTCTGCGAGATGAGGTTATTTTTGCGGGTGCTCCGCTTCATTCACAGCATGTAGTGCTTTACGTATTTCGATAACCAGTCCTTCTTCGGCGGTGATGTCATCGGTATCGTCCTCCCTGGGTCGTTGCTGCTGCTGCTGGTGTAGTTTTGGCGTTCCACTTAGCTTGTTTTCCACGAAAACCTCCCCGTTGCGGATGCTGTAGTTGTTGCGTACGATGTGCGTCTTCTTTCCTGGGGGAGCAGCTGTCGGGTTTGGCTGAAAATTATGATGACGATGTGAATGGTGATGGTGCTGGCAGTATCTATTTAGGGTCAGACTACACAGAAAAAAAAAATGTAATATCGATCAACGTAATTCAAGCTGATGTATGAAATAATGATGTAATAGCAAAAAGCAGATACAATATTACATCAATGGACGTAATTTTGTTCGCAAAATCGATGTACATCGTACAACGTAATATTACATAACCGGCGGAATGATCTCTGTGCAGCTGTTTAGGTGTAATATTCAACAACTTTTTTTTTCTGTGTACCATTAACCCATGTTACATTACGGAATATTTAAGGTGATTCCTTGTAGAGTCCGCCACGTAGGTTATACAATGCTCTTCCACTTCGAATTTTCATTCACAAAACTCTTGGCAATTAATGCCCCATTTCACATGAAATTGCTACTTCATGTATGCTGCAGTACAGCAAACGTGGAGTAACAGTTTCATTGTGGTACGTGTCGTAGAAGCTGATATTTGTGCACTTAAAGTTTCGAAGTGGAAACGAGAATAAGGATCTCACAGCGAAACACCTTAAAAAGCATCTAACAACTAAGGAGAGCAACTCTGCTGCATAATTAAAAATGTAAGTGGGCGAAGGGAATCTAATGTTGATTTATGGATCTGAACCTTGGCCTTAACGATAAAAATGTTCTTTATTGATTTTAACTATATGAAAGCTTTATACACGGCGAATGAGGACGACTCAAATTTGAGTTTAGTTCACTGATAATCGTCAAAAGTTCAGGAACTCAGCGATGAGTAAATTTGTCTCATGGTTCCCTAAAAAATCTGCCGGAAAATCCTGGAAAAACCTGGGAAAACATGAGACAAATTTTACTCATCGCTGAGTTCCTGCACTTTTGGCGATTATGAGTGAACTAAACTCAAATTTGGGTCGTTCTCATTCGCCGTGTATGGGAGGTACAAAGTGTATATTTTACCCGAGCAAAATCGGAGATCAAAATATCATCACGGTAAGAAAAGACACGGTAATAAAAAAGTACCCGAATGGGGTCATTAAAAATGTTGTCTACTTACTTCCTTACTTCTATATGTCAATTGTAAATTTCCGCCTCTTCTTGTAGTTGTATATGTTTAAGGGCTTCTTCACGATTAGGAAAATGATAAATTTTAGTAAAGATTCTTATTGCCCATTCATACACGAGAACGTCGTCAATAACGTCGGTGAACTGAAAAATTAAATAAAAAATCGGAGTTTAGTGAGGGTGAATGGAAAACGTTTATTTTTAAATGCATTACCAATCCTTTATCTTCAGGTAAAACCAGTTGGCTGTCTAGATATAATACCATCGCGTAAAGTTGGTCATCCTTAAAAATTCGACAGACTTGATCAAATGAAGCCAACGTGTGAATTTTGGCCAATTGATAACTGGAAAATGTTTTATACTTGTCGAAAATACATTGAAGTTCAGGCTTGAATTCTGCAAATGTGTCGTTTATTTCAGCTATTGTTAATCGGAAGCAATCTCTAAAAAATAGAGCGTTTGCGAAAAAAATACTAAAATTTATCTTAAAAATTCGCTTTGAACCATGGTTTGTTCAATACATGTGGGAGAATAGAATGTAACCATCTTCCCAAATCACCATCATTCTATTTTTGTTGCCAACTGATGAGGACTTGCTGACGAGCAATGGAGAAAAATTCGTTGAGCCAATTTTTCGCTCAAAAATATTGCCTTCCATAGCGCCCACCTTAGGCAACGAGTCCGCTTTCTCATTTGTTGGAGATCTCGGAATAAGAAAATGTTTGAACACTCCGTACACACTAAGCCAGTCAGTGAGGTTTAATTTTTGACGTAGGACTACGTCTTTGATTTCTATATGGGGGTACACTTTGTGAAAACCGAAAATGGAACATGTAACAAATTAAGAAAGATTTTGAACGTTAATAACTCAGCTGCCCCTGGTCCAATTTCAATAATTTTATCACCAATCGAGAAACTATTGAAAAACTGGTAAATGTTCAGCATTGTCCAAAAGCGTCGAATTAACTAACAAATCCACCAATTACCTACATGCATATGCTGCTTCCCCAGCACAGTCGTCAGAGAGTAGTAAGTAGACGAAACAAGTCGAAGTGGCATTCGCCTCCGATCCTCGGGCGCGTGCGAATAAGGAGGATGGAATTGCGTAATACTTTACACACTCATCGCCATGTTCAGAACCAAACGCAAATTCTTCGAGATAACCACCATCCGTCGTCTGGCTCGCCGTGGCGGTTTCTGACGTATCTCCGGTTTGATTTACGAGGTGTGCTGAAGGTGTTCCTGAAAAATGAGATCCGTGATGCTGTCACCTACACTAAACACGCCAAGCGTAAGCGGCCATGGATGTCATCTACGTTTTTGAAGTGACAGAGACGCACTCTGTTTGGTTTCGGAGGTTAAATCATCACCAACATTGGAAACAAAACGGCTCTTTTCAGGGCCACCAAGCTTATTACAGAAAAGAGTAGGAATAGAATTCATCTGCCTGTTTGTTCATATTCAGAACCACCGACCACACAAAATGCTCATGTAATCAAACTGGAAGCAGGGATACAAATTATTTTGATCAACCTTGATCAACTTTGAATCGCCACGGCCGGATATTTTCGATGGAAGAAGCAACAATCTAGCATCTAATTCGACGAAGACGTCAGGAAACATTTCTGGATCAACAATAGAATAGGGCCCATCAGCATTTGTAAACAAACCGTTCCAAAGCCTCACAAATCGAAGGCCGCTCACACAAACCAACACCAACATCTTGTAGGTAGAAGTTTCCCCTATCCGATGATGGTGTTGGTTTGTGTGGGTGGCCTTCGCTTTGTGAGTAAAGGGCTTTGGAACGGTTTGTTTACAAATGCTGATGGGCTCTTTTCTATTGTTGATCCACATTTGTGAAGCCGAATATTTACGAAAGAGAGTGTCGATGAAGAGAATCGATCAATGTAGATAGGACCTATTGAAAAGTGACGCGAGATTTGTTTTCCGTACTGAGCTCCAATGCTACCGACGCCAGGGAGGCAGCTCCCAGAGATGTTATGCCTTAGAACATGCCGATGGCGCCGACTGAGATTGGACCCAGGCCTGCTGGGGTGAGAGGTAATCACGCTAACCACCGGCGCCGATATCTATCACGGCGAATGAGAACGACCCAAATTTGAGTTTAGTTATCTCAGAAATAAGAAATAAAGTGCAGGAACTCAGCGATGAGTAAATTTGCCTCATGTTTCCCAGGTTTTTCCAGGATTTTCCAGGGAAAAATTCCCGAATTTGAGAAAAGTAAAGATTGGATTCACTCAGTCTATTGGCACTACTCCGAGACTGAATAAAATTTTCGTCAATCTCCTCATTTTCTGGCAGATTTTTTAGGTTTTCCACACGAAATCATGAGACAAATTTACTCATCGCTGAGTTCCTGCACTTTTGGCGATTATGAGTGAACTAAACTCAAATTTGGGTCGTTCTCATTCGCCGTGTACGCAAAAAGAAAAGAGCCAGTGTCGATACTTGATAGCAAACTACTCATAATGGGAGGAGTCTTTGTAGCTTTTATACCACTTGGTTGCACATCATTCTGCTTTATCCTAAAAAGATATAAAGCAGCGCTGCTGTCTGGTATCAGCTCACAGTCGATTTGAATTCTCTCTAGTTTCGTTCGTTCGTTCGCAAGTCGAATTAGCTCCGCGTTGTGTAGTGACGCTCTCGCTGACCCAGCCATGGGTAAGAAATCGCGCGGTAACGCGAGTGCCGGTTTACCGGGAAAACAGACTCTCCCAGGAGACGGCGCGACCACCGAGCCAGCCCAGAAGAAGCAGAAGAAAACCCCATTGCCCATCCCGACTGGCGTTGCGGACCCGCAGCCGGGGCCTCCCGGAACTAAACGACCCAGACCTGAAGACAGCAGCGCCACCGTATCAGCAGCAAAAAAGCTGCTGAGCAACAATCCGTTCTCCGCCCTGCAGAACGGAGCCCAGCCGCAGTCGGACCCTGAGACGGTGCCGAAAAAAGTGAAGTTGCCACCCTTCTATGTGAAGGGCTTCCCTCCCGGGCTATGGGAGCAGCTGGATTTCTACATTAAGCAGGGCCTTCGCTGCACCATTCAACGGTGCACGGAAGGCTACAAACTGATGGTCCCGGCCGAAAAACACTTCAACGCAGTTCAGGCCCTCTTGGACAGAATGAAGCTGGAGTACTTCTCCCACGACATCGAGGCCACCAAGCCGCTGAAAGTGGTGCTGCGCGGGCTCCACGACATGGACACCACCACCTTAATGGACGAGATTAAGGCGAACGGCCTCAAGCCGGTCGAAGTCCACAAGATGACCCGCAGCAAGGCCATCAAGTATCGTGACCAGCTCTACCTGGTCCATCTGGAGAAGAACTCCACAACCGTGAAGGATCTCCAGACGACACGCACACTGTTCCACATCGTAGTGAAGTGGGAGCGGTATAAACCCACCCACCGTGGCGTCACTCAGTGCTCGAACTGCCTATTGTTCGGGCACGGCACCAGGAATTGCCGCATGGCCAGCCGCTGCATCAAATGCATCACAAGATCGACAACTGCGACAGCATCGAGGAAGCCACTCCCACATGCGCCAACTGCGGTGCCTCCCACAAGGCCACGAGTAAGGCCTGTCCGAAGCGGGCCGAATACGCCGAGATCCGGAAGAAGGCCTCGTCCAACAGCCAGCCCGGTCGCAAGAAGGTTCCAGAAAACAACGCGCAGAACTTTCCTCCGTTATCACCGGTCCAATCACGGGCAATTCCAGTGTTGCCGCCGCTCCCGCTCAACCAACAGTTGGCTGCCGCTGCAGTACCCGGTCAAGCCTCCGGGCCATCGACGGATCCCCCTGCTCCGGGATTGGCCGGTACAACCGGTGAAGCTACAGACGATTCTCCGCTGTCAACGGATGAGATTGTCACACTGTTGGCCCAGGCCATCATCATCAAGCGCACCTGCGCAACAAGAACACAACAGCTCCAAGCTATCATCTCCTTCGTCGCTAATTATGGACCGTGAACCCATAAAGATCGCCAACTGGAACGCTCGCTCCGTAGGGGCGAAAAACATTGAGCTTGCAGACTTCCTCCGCAAGCACGACATCGACGTGGGCCTTCTCACCGAGACCCACCTCAAGACCGGTGACAGCTTCTGGCTGCCCGACCACAGCATTGTCCGGCTTGATCGCACCAGCTCCAGGGGGGGCGGTGTCGCGGTCATCATCAAGAAAGGCATCAAGTACTGCACCCTACCCCACTACCGCACTTCCATCATCGAGGCCGTCGGCGTTGAGGTGGAAACATCGACCGGAAACGTCCGGTTCATCGCCGCCTACTGCCCCCGGCAATGTACCGTTAGCAATGGTACAGCACAGCAGTTCAAGAACGACCTTGCCATCATAACCCACACCAATGCCCGCTTTGTAATCGGAGGGGACCTGAACGCCCGGCACGAGGCCTGGCGGAACTACCAGCAGAACCAGAACGGCCGCCTGCTATTCGACCATTCCCAGCATGGTCTCTATTCCGTCTGGTTTCCGGACGAACCAACCTTCACATCACCGACGGGCAACCCATCGACGCTGGACCTGTTCTTGGCAAACACCAGATTAGCCAAGCCGGTTGCCGTCAACGACCTGAGTTCGGACCACCAACCGGTGCTGACCGAGCTGGGCTACAACGTGGCCCCTGCACCGTGCCAGCGGAAGGACTACCATCGAGTCAACTGGGTCCAGTTTCGACGCGTGGTCGACCGCCACATCGACGACAACCCACCGCTCAACACAGTGGAGGACATCGACCGGGCCCTGGAGGGTCTCCATCAAGCCATATCCGTGGCTGACGAAGAGTGCGTTCGACGAGTTCCTGTGAGGGGTAAGTTTCAAGCAATTGATTCCCACACCAAACTCTTGATTCGGCTCAGAAATGTTCGTAGACGCCAGTTTCAGCGGACTGGGGATCTGCAGCGTAAATACGAAATGGTCGATCTGAATCGGCAGATCGCTTCCAGAATGGTCTCAATCCGGAACGAGAGTTTCGGGCGGCTCGTTCAGAACCTGGACGACCGTTCCAGACCATTCTGGAAGGTTGCCAAGGTGCTGAAGTCTCACCCCAAGCCCATTCCACCACTTAGAGTCAATGACGAACGGCTTATCACCAACGAAGAGAAGGCCAATGCA